ATCCTGAAATCACCGTTAGAATGTTACTTCTGGCCCAGCATTTAGAATGTGCCACGGCAATAAGAGCTAATTCAAAACACTTCAGACGAATTAGTTATTTCTTACTTTTTCCCTTGCCATTAACCACAAGTACAGCCAATCCCAGACAAACACATAAACACAGCTCACCATAGTCCTGAATTTTTAAAAGGGCCTCAACCAAGCATTCAAAATGGGATGTAGTCACGGTGTATCTGATTATGTGTGCCTTCAGCATGAAAGTAGACATATCTTATCTGAACAGACACACAGAAACTATAGATCTGATTAATGTTATCGTTAAAACATGTACTGTACTTCTCATAGGAGCTAACAACATTTGAAAAAAATCCATGTGCAAGAATAATCTATGTAATAAATGAGTTACAACTGGACTGAAATATGCCCAGAAACTGTTGGGTGTAAAGGGCAAATACAGTGGTTCTGCATGTTTAAGTTGAATTTTTGGGGAGAAAACATGTCATATAAAGTACTCAAGATTCCTACTCATTATCAAAAAGTTCACTGAGATGTATCATTTGCTGAAAGTGAAAGGACTCATGTTTAGCCACTCCTGGAATAAAGAATTAAGTTATTAGCTAGGTATTAAGGAACTTAAGAGGAAGAGTAGAATATTAGAGATGGTAATAGATGGTGAATGCTCGTCTTCAGTGTCCACATAGAACAGTATAAGAATTAGACTGGACCAGGAATAAATTTAAAGTAAGTTTGTCATCAATCATTATCATCAGCCACAAACGCATGGTGGAAAGGGAAGAAACAGGCTTTCGAGTCAGACAGAACTAATAGGAAAAGTTCAGTCCCATTCTTTCCTTGCTGACTGACCTTGATGCCTTCCTGTGCCTGTTTGCTCAACTGTGAAATGAACCTACTTTGCAGGGTCACCACAAGAATGGAGGGACAAGATACGCAGAGCACTGAGCATAGGCCTGGCTCACAGGGAGCCCTGATTAAACCGCAGTTGTTGTTATCATCTCCTCCGGCACCATAGGCTTTAATAAGTGTTTGAAGGTTATCAGACCCTGACGCAGATTAACGATGGAAGTTGTGAAGGAAAGGAAACAATCAAGTTTGTAGTTGTTTCTACGTGGTGTGACTACAGGAGAAGGGTGAGGGGCCCAGATGTCCTGTTGAGAGGCAGAGTCCATCCTACCTGCCCACACTTTCAGTGTCAGATACCTAAGTGTGCACATTTCATTCTTAGGATAGTTTCAGGAAAAACTCTTTCGTTGGTTGATACCCCTTTAAAAAGAGGCTCTTTTTGTGTTGAAAAAGAGCAGCTGATCACAGTCATGGTTACTATGTACAGTTTTGTTCTTCACATTTCAAAAGATGCAGAAAAGCACTTCAAAAGTTCATCCGAAGTGGACAGAAAGTAGGTGGTGGGAAGAAAGGCTCCCAGAGTTGGAGTCATTCACTCTGTACCAGAGAGGGTTTCACAGATGGCAAATGTGTGGGGTGTTAGGACCCTGACGCTTTCATTTCCATTGACTAGGACTCCTGTCAACACTTCTTGGATGGATGATATTCTGTTCTGAATAAAAGGGGTCAACCAGATGACCTTTTGGGATCTCTTCTACTTCTCAGCATTTGCACAAATGTGGAAGAGCAAATATATTTGCTCATCAGTGAGGGGTGGTTTTCAGTGGCAGCTTGTTTAAAATCAGGGTGAGGTAGCCTGGCACAAGAGCAAGAGTGGGAGCTGGGAGTCAGAGCTGGGTGTGAATATGCCTCTGAAACTCACTATATGGCAAGTTATGGTAGTAAAAGGACTCAACTCTCTACTTAATAACACGGAGATAATCTCTGCCTCCTAGGGCTGGTGAAAGGATTAACTAAAGTAACATTGGCAAAGCACCTAATATTTTGAATGGCACATTATAGGCCTTTGATAAATTGGAACTATTATTCTAGTTGGCTAAAGGATGGGTTGAGTAGTTGCCTTTAAATTATGAGGAGAGCGATGGCATTCTGGTGATATTTATACAATGCTAGGAAAATTGCAACTTCAAGTTAGCGGCTGACACCACCTTGGCCTACGGGAACCACTCTACAAGCTGAGCTTGTCAATGCCCCAAAATGTTTGAGGGGGCAACTTATTAACTAACTTGGTGCTAAGAAGCAGAGGGAAGTGAATGTGAGGTCTAAGGCATTTTGGTATGAATCTGGTTTCTCTCACTGTCATCACAAGAATAAAATGAATTATTTAAAAAAGATTCTAAATACATTCCCAAGGCTGACATCACATTTCACTGACTTGTAATTCACACCAAGTATAGCAAAAACATCAGCCAAAAAACAGGTTTGCGAACCAAACTGATTATCAGACACTGTAATTAGGAATTTCCTCCTTCATGAATGATATGAAGCTAAAAATAAAGGTCATAAGAAGTTAAACAGCTCCTGCCCAGCAATGAATTGCAGTGGTCAGAGCCCTACAGCTGAATAAAAGGAACTCCTACTACTATAGGACTTAATGTAATTTCTTGGTGCTACATCAATATAGTATTATACATTTAGCATTTACAGAAAGATGCTGGAGTCCAAGACAGGACGGCTCTGGCTTTTGTTCTTTACCAAAGAGGTGGGGGCTTTGGCAGTATGCTTGGAGGCTGTGGAGAATCAGGAAAGACAGACGAAATACCAGGTACAAACAAATATGCACATAAAGGGAGGCCCACGGAGAGCTCAGCCAGAAACACCGGAGTATTTCCTGAAGCCCCCTATGTCACTTGGAGAATCAGACTTGGCTTGGAGAGCACATCCTGTTTCCATCAAAAGGGGAATGGGTTACAGCTGATAGAACCAAACATTACAGACAAGAGAGCAGAACAATGCACTTAGAACTGATGGAATCACATGAAAGAGAGCTTATTTTTGTTTGGAGTGAACAAGTACAGGCAAGGCATGTTGTAAAACAACTCCAGATAAATCAGGAAGCTGGATGAAGCTCATTGTAGATACCTGTCAATACTAGATCTATGAAGGCTGTTGCACCATTAAATCAATCCTAAGTGGGAATCTCACATAGTAATGAAGCAGCTCATATATTACCAAAACACAAGTTTTACATTACGGGGCCAACTTAAAATTCATTATTTCAAATGCATAAACTTCAAGTGGCAATAAACCACTGAGCTACTGAGATAGCCTATCAAAGTTAAACACAGATACCTCAGTAAGCTCATCTTTAGGCCCATCATTTTCACAACACTTCTTTAGAAGTAAGGGTACAAAACACCTTTGACATGTATTGCATTCTATCTTTGCTTTGCCTAAAGTCATCATTTTATTATGCTTCCTTAAAACCATACATATTACAAATCTGACTTTATAGTACTTATAAGCAGGTTCATTTATTGTCATTTTTGTGTTTGTGGAATGACTGGACAGAAGAAAAAACCAAAATGGCAACTAAGATAAGAATTAAAAACATCACAGAAAGAAAAAAAACTATAAAACATGAAATCCAAGGCATCTCTGATGCTGGATATTAACTTCAAAAGCCTTTGCTACTAAGGGGCATTAAAATCAGTGCTTTACTTCCATATGTCTCTTTCTGAGTCCCGGTGAACAAACCTGTCTAAATCACAGATTCTTTCAGTATGTGACCTTCTTTGCTGGACTAGGACAAACCCTTCCAGCAGTTTATTCAGATTTTAGACCACTTGGATAAATGCCAGTACAAGTCTGTCCAGAGACTGAAGAGAGCTACTGGCTTGAAGAAATGCAGGTATTTTCAGAAATGCTTATCTCAGTACCAAGGAGTAACTCATGTACTTGGAGTATCTAACTAATCCAATCCTGTGAGGGAACATGGTGTTTGATGTGAAGGGACAACTGATTCGTGAGACTGATTCGTGATAAGTGCATTAATTTATAAGTAAGGAGTAAGAAAATCTCTTTACCTGGATTTTGATAGCTGTAATACACCCACTGAGAGAGACTTTCAGTTATGGTGACAGTAAGTTGCTAAATATTTTAAGGTGCTTTAACTATGTTCCTAGTCATATTAATATCCTTCTAGATTTACTAGAAGGATTTAACTGGATTTTTCCCTCTTTTGGATTTTCACTGGATTTTTTTTTAATTAACATTTTTTTAAGGTATCATTTATATACACTCTTATGAAGATTTCACATGAGCAACATTGTTGTTACTACATTCACCTATATTATCAAGTCCTCCCCATACCCCATTGCAGTCACTGTCCTCAGCATAGTAAGATGCCACAGAGTCACTACTTGCCTTCTCTGTGTTACACTGTCTCTGTGACACCCCACACCATGTGTGCCAATCATAATGCCCCTCAATCCCCTTTTCCCTCTCTCCCTACCCACCCTCCCCAACCCCTCCCCTTTGGTAAATGCTAGTCCCTTCTTGGAGTCTGTTTTCAAGGGATTTTTAATGAAAATAGACAATAGTGCTTCATTTCATCTTGGAAATGTGCCTTGTGAAGGACTTCAGAGATATTTTTCTTTCTTTCTAAAAATGGCCTTCAATTAACAATAGTCTTTTCAGATAACAAAGCCAAAAGCAGATAACATCAGACTCCGCTAACATGATCATGAAAAGACCAAAGAGACCTCCTAAAGTGGGGTGGCCAAGTGCTAAAGTCACTAAAACTTCCTAACAGAAAGCAAATAAAGTATTATTCAGGAAAACAGCCATCAAAGCAGGCCCATGGCTGGAGGGCACAACAAAATCTTCCTCTAGCAAATGTCCCAGTTTAAACAGCACTGGTTGTTTAAAATAAAGGGTTTTTGGGAGGAACCAATGGCAAGGTAGACTGCTTCTTTTGACATCAGGAAACAATGCCTTTTTTTCTTTTCTTAGACACAGTGCAGAACCAACATTTTAAAGCCATATGATGTGGGTTTTGTTGATTTATGAAGCAGCTGTGGGTTTTGGAGAGGAAATTGTACTCAAGCTCAAACCACACTGTACCAGTCTTGGTTTACCTGCCATATGCAAACCGCCTGTCTTTGTGATGATCACCAAAAGTATCCCAAAGCCTGAGAGAAACGCTCACTTCATCAACAACATCCCGGGAACGCTCCAAGACCTGTAGGAGAGACAGCATCCATGCTCAGGGTCCTTCAGAGGCTCCCCGGAGAAGAATGTCAAGGTCAGCACCCCTCCGTGCCCACTGCACTCACTTGTATTTGGTTTTCTTATTCCATCTAAAGGACTTAAGCTAAGTCCTAATTCTCTCCCTGGAATCACATGACTCAAAGCCCTCCTTGCTCGGGATACTATAGCTATACCCCCAGGTTTGCATTTCGTCTTTGCATTCTTTTGTGGCACTAAAAAGGTTAGTTTTATTTTGAATGTACAAATTACTCCTCCCCCCTTTTTAAGATGAAACTGGCAATAGCAATCATATGCTCTTAGGATTCGAAAGAAATGCTACATCTTACCTCCTGGCAGACCCGGTACTGGTCAATCGCCCACACGGTTGGTACGTGGGTGGCCAGTAGCTGATACTGTGTTAGGGTCGTATTACATGCTCTGGCACAGATCAGACGTGTCTTCCCAACAGCGTTGTCTCCCACGACCACACACTTGATGGTTTCAACGTTGGGTCTTTCGTAGTCCATGTCAGTGTCCATTTATAAAACTCTGTAAGAGAGTGGACACCACGTTAAAGACACTGCACTTTCCAGAGCAATCAAAGACGTGAGGGGCTCAGGCAGCTTCCCTTTGTCCAGTCACTTCTTTGGAGGTGCCCAAGCATAAGCAAGAAGTTTGGAAGTCCATACTAAGCCTAAGTGAAACTGAAGCTTTCTTTTTATATCTCACACAAGTACAAAAACACAGGATTGTTATTTTGACCCCAAAATGGGTTATTCTGGTTAACATGTTATTTTCTCCTTGATTTTCTTTAAACACAACCTGCCTACTGGAAATCCATGCAGGCAAGTCAGGACTGCTGGCACACATTTATAGCTAACTAGCTACTTATGTTGACCCACCATAAAGAGACTGGTTTCCTGCCAGTTTAACTTCAGACATTGGGACATGAATTCCTTAGCAATACAAGTATCCATACCATCACAATACTCCAATGGTCCAATATCTCTCCTTTAAGAGCAGTTTGCTATAGGTTCCTAACTATCCTGGTGACTTAGAGGAGAATCAAAAGTGAAGCAGAAAGGACTACCCAACTTTAAAGAGTCAACTCTAAGCCTGAATTTTGATACATTAATAAAATTAATTATATTTATATTTAATCATTTATACCAAATTCATAAAAGATGTTCACAGAGGAGCACCATGAAACAATATTTAAAAAATCCTCTCTGTGTTTTCATCACAAAGTCTGAAGCATGTGGCAAAGAATAACTTTACCAGGACGAGGAGCTACCTTTGGAATCTCCCAGAAACCACCAAAAATGGTTTAAGGAGGGTTGCTGAGTGAGGTGTCAAGAGGAAGTGGATAAGCTCCTGCCAGCTCTGCTTTCCAGGGACAGGACCCTCCACAAACTGCACAGCTGACTGATTTGTGGGAGCAGCTGGATGGGTAACCAACCATGTAAGACTTTAAGACTTTAGTGAAATGTAATCGTCCTTTTGGGGAAGTCTATTGTTGAACTGAGAAAACTGGTTAGATGGTCATCTTTAAAGAGTCGATAATGGTTTTAATGGTCATGACAGTAAAGAAACTGTTCAGAGTAGGGCTTAATCTGTAATTAGAACTCAACTGTCTAGTTCAACTAATTTGAGAGAAATGGTAATTTGGATACTATGAGATTAAGAATAGAGAAGGAGAGAGGAGGAAGAATATTAAGTAGAATGAGGGCCATCTGAACACGGAATTATCTCCTGTAACGGCATCACAAGAAAATGTTAAACCCAAGGCTAGAGAACTGTTTGGCAGGAATGGGGTGGAGTGATCCAAAGAACAGGTAGGTGTGTGAGGAGGTTAGGGTCTGATCTGTGTTCTACACCATGGAGATGCTTAAAATAGACAGATATCTGTCCCCTACCTGGCCAGTGCTGATTCTGTAGGTCTTGGGTAGGAAAGAGTCTTTAAGAAAATCTCTAATTCTGATAATCAACCAGCTGTGGTGACTCCTAAAACTGATCTCTTTAGAATCTGGTCTTGAAAGTCTATGGTTTTATTAGTTTCCTATTTAATAGTAAAACGTGGCAAAAGCATGACTTTGGCATTGGATCAGTGGCTCTTAGATACCCACCAGAGAATGTTCGGCAATGTCTGGGAATATTTTTGGGTGTCACAGTGGGGTCAGGGGAGTGCTACTAGCTGATCGTGGATAGAGGCCGGAGATGCTGCTAAATGGACTACCAAGCACAGGACCCCCCTGCAGCAAGGAATCACCCAGCTCCAAATTTTAAAGGGCTGAGGCGAGAAACCCCTGCCTTAGATGGATGTGAGTTTGAATCCTACTCTCCCCATTTCCCAGTTGTTTGACTTTGGTCAAGTGATCTGTAGTATCTGAGCCTCAGTGTCCTCATCTGTTAAGTGGGAATTTCAGTACCCATCTCCTAAGGGTGCTGAGGATTAGGTGCACTGCTGCTTCAGTCCCTGGTACAGTACCTGACACACTGATGACTTCAAAAATTACAATCATGATGCTGATGATGAACACCTTTAGATGACAACAAAGGTGAATCAGATGGAGGATCAGCATTATATACAAAATCATAAACTGAACAATCACAGACTTCTATAAAAAGGATGAATTTTAGTAAAACAACTAAAGGGCAATTTATTGAGAAACAAAGAACATAAATACAAAAAGGAACATAGCTGACATTTGTAAAGAAGGCAGAGAAAGGTCTGGGTTGGGAGGAGGATAGAGTTGACTAATTAAGAACAGAGTTGGAAAAGGAGTCTAAAAATTTTTTTAGGGGCATTTCTAGATTCTGGAACAAAAATGGTCATGTTATTACTGATAAGGAACTCGGTGAGTTCTGGTGATACCACCACGGGGCAGCCTCTGTCAGAAAAACAGGTTCCATTGGAGCCTTACAACTCTGGAGCTGGAGGTACATTATTTTAAACGTCCTAAGCAGGGAAAACTTTACTTTCCTGAGAGTGAATTTTATTTTACTTTTTTAGACAGGTAAAAGTCATAAAGAACCAATTCCCTAAAATTTGGGGGAATGTTTGGATTTAGTCAACACTGAGAGATGACAGAAAAAAAAATAGGGAATTGGGTTCTTGTTGGCTTGCAAACCAGCTCCTTCTCTCCAAGAGGAGTCCCCCAAATAATATGGATCATGGCAACACTGGCAGAATAGCTGTACAGCTTTCACAGAAGACTACTTTGAGGAGGACAAAAGCCCTCCTCGCTGTACATTAAGGCTATGATTACAAAAAATATCACTACTCTACTTACTTACAGACATATCTCATACATAGTCCTAGGAGGGATTTCTGTGTCAAAGGGGAGAATAACCTCCGCAGGTCCTTGAATGTCTGGCAATCTGCTTGCACCCCAAGTGACTGCTACCAGAGGTGCCAAGCCTTGTGCAAGGGACAACATGTACAGTAAAAGGCAGGGAAGAATTAAATACTCATACCCAAGATCACTTACTTTAGACAGAATTTCCTGGAAAGGTTTTCTGGATTTCTAGATATTGAAAATATTTTCTTTTGAGTAGAAATCTGTGGTCATCTCAAAGACATTTTAAGAGTATGAAGTCACAGCCAAGGATGTAAACTCATGCTACAAGTATATTTTTGTGAATCAATTATTCATCTGCTACACATAAATAAGTAAACATAAATTATGGTAGTAATTATAAAACCATGCTATTTTATCCTTCTTTACTTGTTTTGGACCCTAATCTATTCATATCTTGCACAAGTATGGTTGAATGAGCTCTTAGGGCCATATGGATAATGACTATCTGGTTTCTGATTTTTTACTTACCAAGAGTGAGAGCAATAAATACTATTCATTTAACACTGTTAATAAGTTTTGCCACCATGAATCCTGCTGACCTTTGCAGATACCCTTCTGCCTTTAGACATATATCTGAGGAGACAAGGAAAGTATAAACAACAAACACCAGAAAGAATAGCCTTTGTTAGCCTGTTACTATAGTAGCTTTGTAATCTTCTTACTCAAAACTGACTTGAACTGTATTTCCTACTTTGACTGAATCTCAGGACATGGGTGCTGATAGTTAAAATGCTGAAGGATCTACCCTGCACACTCTGGAAGTCTGAAGCAGTCAGTTATTTAAAAACAGGCAAGTCAATGAGACAATGTGGAGACTGGGAAGTGCAGGACTCGGTGAGGAGGGACAGGGTGGCTGGTGCACCATCCAGAGGCTGTGAGCATGACCTCTTGGCTGTCCCATGACCCCATCTGCTTGATTGTCTCACATCTGCCTAAGCCATTGTTACTGGTGTCTCCTGGACTCAGGACCCTCCTCCACACTAACTGCCGACTCAGCCTTCTTGTTGAATCCCATGGGATGATGCACCCCACACCCTTGCCTCACCGTTTCTTCACCTCCTTTAATGCCAGTGATCTTTGCCACACACTATTGGAGCCACTGACCCTTTGGTCATGTGTTGGATATTGCTGTCATCCAGAAACATTTTACCTCTGAAACCTCAAATTTAAAAATCTTATTCTCAGAGCAAAAACTCCTATCTTTATAGCCTCTGATAGATGAAATATGGCCACTGCAACAACTCCCACTGGGAGATGGGATCTCTTTCCCTTCTTCTTGAATTTCAGCTAGTCTGGGACCACTTGGCTCAACTCAAAAGATGGTGGCAATGCTGTGGGAGTTCCAGAGTCATGGCCTCCAGAGACCCTGCAGCTCCATGCTGTTGGGTGATACAGTCCTGACACTGTCATCTAAGGCAGTGAGCTTAGCCTAGAACAGGATGAGAATTCACACTGAGAACAACTGAGGCCACCCTGCTGATGGCCTCACCGTGTACTGCCTAGTGTGAGGCCATGTTGGATCTTCAAGCCCAGCCAGCATTCCAGCTGAACACAGCTTTATGAGGGAGCCTAGGTGAAATGAGCCAAGGATCACCCAGATAATCTACAGCTATCATGAGAAATAGAAAATCATCATTTTAAGCCACAGGATTTTAGGGTGATTTGTTACGTAGCAATAGTTAACTGAAACACACTCAATTATACCTTAGGAAAATCTCCAGAACCCCAAATTCCCCATTTAAAGAAGACACCAGATTATAGGCCACTTATGGATGATGATCTTTTCCATCTCAGATTGAAGGGTCAGGCAAGCTTTTCTCTTCTCCATCACCCTGAACATCTTGTATTGCATGTGTCATGGGCAGAATAATGGTTCTCAAAGATGTCCAAGGGGCCTGGGAATATGTTCTGTTACATCTTACAAAGATGGGGGAACTAGGGAAGCAGATGGGATTGAGGTTGCTAATCAGCTGACTTACTGTAAGGAGGTAATCCTGGATTATCTGGGTAGGCCCAAAGTGATCACAACTGTCCTTTACACGAGGGAGGAGGAGGCAGAAGGTCAGAGTGAGAGAGAAAGGTGAGATGCTACACTGCTGGCTTTGAAGATGGACGAAAGGGCCAGAAGCCAAGGAATGCAGGTGAATTCTAGAAGCTGGAGAAGTAAGGAACAGATTCTCCCATAGA